TAATAGCGCGTTCGTTCCCCACCATAGACACCTGCGGTCCAGAGTTTTGCAAATATCTCAGCAACGTTGTGGTTGTATATGTTACAGATTTCTTGCGTATTTATTAAAATCATGTCAGTTAGAGTATTTAGGTTGTGAACAACCGTGCTATTATCCAATTGGAGACCTCTATTGGTGGATGTATACGGAATTTCCCGCGATCCTATTGTTGGTTTTCATCGCAGTGTCTCAAAAGTTACGCATTGTGCACAGCGTTTTGATGTTGCTCCTATCGTAAAAGAATGGATTTTGTAGAAAAAAAAAACGAAAATAAAAGTGAAAATCTATTAGTGTTTTTTTTCAAGTGATTTACGACTTAGTGATAATTTATAGGTGTCCATGTTGATAGAGCGAGATTTCTACCAGTGAAAAACACTGACGATCTTCTGGCAATTTCATCAGACATCTATTCGATCGGGGCTGACCGCTCTTTACAACTGACAAGCGCTAGCTCCGCTCCTACCATAAAGCTTGGAAAGTTCTTTCAAACAGTAAGTAATATGCCTAATGACTTTTAGGTGTGAATATTAGCAGCTGAATATAACAATAATTGAATAACAAACTAATTTAACTACTGCGAATATTAATATATGAATATATTGTGAATATGTGGATATTAACTTTTCGAACTTTTTCCTACAATTTTTTATTTTATTTTATTCTTTTTTCGTTAAATAACTGCAATCATTCGCCTGGTTTGAAGAGTTTGTCAAAAAATTTTCTGTGGTATATTATAAAATATCAGCAATAAATACGTGCTAGGCAGCTCACAGTATAGTCGTAGTGATGCCAGTTATTACGAATACCACCTAGTTCGATCCCAATCCAGGCTCATCAATCCTCTCATTCCTCCTGGGTCAAGAAATACGTATCGTACTGTCCGAGTAAAATCACTCTATGGGATTTAGTTGGAACTCCCGGCTAGCTCAGAACTCCAAGAAGAATCGATTCGATCAGCATTCAACGAGATTCATGGTAAAAGAAAAATCCTCAAGCAGCAGCCGAAACTAGACGTTAAAGTTGGAGGAGCTTCGTGGGTGATGGATACCAGGATATGAATTAAATGCGCGAATTCGTAGGACCCGCACAGAAACATCAAAGTCGGGTCGTATTATAAATTAGAAAAGTTACGAGCTAGTTATACTCTGCAACGAATGAGACGAGGAAATACCTTCTGATGATCGTTTCACACAGAAATCCGCCGGTGCCATGAGAATAAAATTGAAGCCTCATTACGTCTATTTTCTGTGGCTCATTTGAGAAATCATTTGAGTTTTATCTGTTATCAGGTAATCCCATCACTGTTTCAGATTTCCACAAAGACCATTCATTCTCAATTCTTTTATCACTGGGACATTAGGACATTAAGCGTATTTAAATATATAGGTTAAGCAGCTCTTCAATATCATTTTTAATGACTCGTGTACAAAAAAACAAGCAGTGAGCTCCAACATAATTCGTAGTTTGCTAATTGAGTAGAATATTCCTCCTGAAAATCTCGATGAAGTGTACGTACGTACACGCTCCTAAATTAGTGCAAATAATTGATTTTGATTCCATAAAAACCAGGAAATAAACTCGACGCTTATGGGAGAATGTTTAGAGGTGCTTTCTTATGATATTCATAAACTGTTGTTGGTTCGATCCCACGCATTGTTTAGAACTATTCTCACATGCATTCGAGCTCGACAAATTGATACCTGGTTTCACTGGGAGGTTAGAAACACTGAAGTGTTATACTGATTGGTCTCCTCAAGTTATGGCCTGGGTGAAATATAAATCCAATTACTTAAAAAACCAATCGACGCTCTGATCTCTATCCTTCCTACCTTTTATGAAATTATACATCAAATACTTATTGTTCTTCTACTTTATTTTACATACTGCGACTTACAACCCTTCATCCATCATTCACGAATATCCTTAAATTTCTCTGAGTGTTAGCTCAGCCACTAATTTGCTGTTTGAAGACTGTCCCTAAATGCTAGTCGAACTGATCTTTCCAGGAGTTTTGAGATAGCTGGGAGAGCGTTACACTTAAGCTTCTACGTTGCATTGCTCGGAAACAAGTCCGAAGCCAATTTACCTTGCCCGGAAGAATAAGAGGCTTGATGAGCCCGAGATGTATCGAACCAACACGATGCTCATGATGAGCTGCTTCGCTACCACTGCACTACCAGCTCTTTGCCGTTTCCTCAAACATTTGTAAATAATCGAGCACGTTGGCCATATACCGAGATATTTATTAGTTTAATTTAATTCAGTTTTATTTTGTATGTGAGCCGCGTTCACGTCAACTATGCGGATCGCAGCACTTCTCACATTCGAATCGCTTCCTCGAATCCATTGTCCACAAAGGTCTCCCAAATTTACGTGTGGAATCGGTTGCCGCTTGAGGATTTTCATTTTATCTTGAATGTCGTGGAATGCTGATCGAGCAATTCTTGATGGAGTCTTGAGATAGTTGCTGGAGATTTAAACTGGATTGCAGAGAGTGATTTTTCCCAGACAAGTCCAGTACCGATTCCTCAGCCTCGGAGGGACGAGTGGCTTGGTTGGCCTAGAACGAAATCGAACTAGCGCTATGCTCGTGACGACAGACACCACTGCCGCTGTGCTATCTGCCCCATCATGCCGGAATACTGCTGACAAAAAGGTTATTGTGCCACAAACTTTGACCATTTCAGGGCCAAATTTAAATAGATAACTTTCTTTCCATGATGGTGCTAAGATATTTGCAAAGCTCCGGACCGCAGAAGTCTGCGGTGGGGATCGAGCGCCCTGTTACCCTTTCCGGTGCTAATGTGTTAACCACCACGCCATGCGTGCCCTTCGTTTCATTAGTCTCCCAGATACTTCTTCTATCTACCAGTGCCATCGTAAATCACTCGTTAACGGGATTTATCTGCGGAGCCTAAATTGGCATTGAACGCAGCTAAGGATCCGCATAGTGTGGTGGTGAACACGTCAGCCAACGGGACGGATAATAGCGTGTTCTTTCCCCACCGCAGACACCTGCGGTTTGGAGTTCCGCAAATATCAGCGTTAGAATTCTACATTGACGACGCGTCATTCAGGTAGACAATTTTCATGCTCGATTCGACGGGTATCCGAATATTACTGAGCTCCGGTCGCTTAGAATAGAGGGAGATGTCCGATTTGAAAGAGACGTAACGCTAAAGGTAATAGAAAACATTTTCACTGACGTATTCTCAGCCAGTTTCCATTCTTGTCAGCGGTTAATTACAATCTCAAAATTTCAGGGAGATGTTGAAATCATCAACAATTCTGGAAAACAACAGGTCATAATTTCACGAACTTTGATAGATAATCAACGTATTATATTTGACTGAATACTGAACTTCATGTTGTAATAACTGGATAAAAATGGTTAATTCTGAGCGCTGTTTCATCACAAGCTTTGTGCAATAACATTGACTTTGTAACTTACGGAGCGAAGGTCCGTTTACAAAATGTCGGTGGCTTCTGTTTCTACCCATATCCGTTGGCTACGTCACAATGCTCTTTCACACGGAGCAGTCATATTTGGAACCTGCATGTGAAAAGAACACTTCAAGATTTGCAACGGAAATTTTTTGGCCAAGAAAAGTTTGTATATTAATTATTACTCTGAAGATGCCTTCCTTCATCCAGTAAATACTACGTGAGTTGCATCATTAAACTTGAGCAGTATGTCCAGTAATGAAAGACCGCTAACGGCATGCACCGATTCTGGGAAAGGATACTCCACCTCTAGACAGCACGGAGGATTCGGAAATGCACACATGTCTTCCAGGTCTCTATAATCCGATGCAATTTCTATGGGTATGTTCCACTACAAATTTAGTCTCACTGGTCCTTCCGCTCTTAACTTTCATTGTCGGCAGACGGATTTTAGCTTTACCATCTAGATGTTCTTTTATGCGGACACAAAGTGGTCTAAGTGGTCTGAGTGCTCGGCGGTATTTCAACCACAGTTACCGAATTCTCTACATCGGTCTCTTCTAAACGTTTTATACCCGCACTTATTTCGTTAGAAGTTAAGAGAGGGATGAACGGAGGCTTATTTTCACAAAAAATTGCGCCATACTCAAAGATTATTCCTTTTTTCTACTTCTGTTTAGCAAAGATGAGGTGTTATTTTATTTCTCTATTTACGCACAAGCTAACGTTTCGGCGGATTTCGCCTTCCTCAGAGCCTGGAAAGGTCAAGTTGACTACAATCTACACGCTAAACACCTCCATAACCAGCAAAAAAAATACTGAACCAAAATTTCAATCGCATTGAACACAGAGTCTTTGCACACTCACCGCTTTCTTTGAGCCTTCCACTGAATGTGTTACATGGAGGCCAACCACACAGAGTTCACATGGAATCGTAACGTGCCCATCTCACCAGAATAACAGTCTTATATACTGCCCAATATCACGCGTGATAATGAGGTATTCCTCCCTGCGGTTCATATTCGGATTCATGGAATTAATCCAGAATCCCTCGAGAGTTTTGCGCGCTTGTGTTCTCGATTCCTGCGCGATGATCGATCATTGCGATTATCGAGGATTCCTTTGCAAACGATAGTAATTTTTCGAAACTCATTTCTCACAAGCATCCTTTTTCTGTGATGAATAAGATAGGTTATAAACCAATGTGTTTTTCTTCTTTGGCTTTTGGTAAAACTTGGTGATTTATCCGTTTTTGGATAGGATTGGAGGATTGGAAAGTGGAAGCCATTTTTTATCCGGATTCTCTCAGGTGAATATTATATACTGTGATTTTTCGTTGAATAACACAAAAAATTGTCTATCTCCTTATGGAGCAAAAGAAAAAACAATCGTCTGTATATCTACAATGAAATAATCGCTGCAGATAGATCGCTACAGTCTACTTTACTAATAAGTGCAATGGCAGGGTTTGACCCTGTCGCTGTCCCAATGTTAACACTCTCTATTGTGCAGAATAATTCACAACCCACCTAATGATTGCGCAATTTAGGCACACCCTTAAGACACCCATGAGCAGCTGGACTGAGAAGCTCTATATGGTTTTAAACGGATTTTAGCTTTTCCATCTAGTTCTTTTATGCAAACATAAAGTGGTCAACTCGTTTCCTCAACATATTCCTCGCCGCATTCGTTACATTAGATCAAGTATATTACACCTAAACTCATGCAATCCCCGTCTCTCCCGTTAGGACAGATCAGACAGTTTTCTGAGCTGCACAAACGATCATAGAGACGGTTTCGAACTAACTGATGGAGCAGGGTATTGGGTGGGATGTCAATAATCGTTACATAATTTTCAAGACCACTTTTTCTTAAGCACTTTTTAATGGCGTGACTTACTTCATTTGAAATGAAGGACAGCTTAAAGGGGATCCTACTTTCGTCTTAAGTATTATTTTGGAAAACTACCCAACGTTTTCCTCTAACCCGAGTGGCTTCTACTTCGTAGCCATTGGAAATGGCAATTTTTCGTGCCAGGTTTTGCGTTTCCTTCTTTTCCTCTTCTCCTGTACACACATTTTTAGCCGTACGGTACATGTTTTTGATAAGTGCTTTTTTCATATGTGAAGGATGAGAGGAGAGGCAGTGAACTGGAATGTTTTTACTACTTGGCTTGCGATACTATTTTGTTATACAGCGACGTACTGAGAGCTTTATTTGGACGTTTAAGAATGGAAGCCAGTTCTCGGTAGGTTTTTCTCGTGTAAATTTTATATAGTCTGACTGCCGGTTTAACAATTCAAAGCACTCATCCATCTGTTCTTGTGTGGAACAGACGATGAAGCAGTCGTATACGTATCGACAGTAGAGCAAGAGCCGGTGATCGATAACTGGAGCTTCCACCTTAGACATGGAAAGGCTTGGTGCTATAGGCTTGGCGCTGCCCCATCGCCAACCCTGTAATTTGTGCAAAATATTTTCCGGGCCACCTAAAGATTGAACAACTAAGACATTGTTTTAAAGGAGTCATTAGTTATGCAATCGGCAAGCCGCACTTTTTATTTTCTTTTCATGCTCTACAAGCAACACGAGAATGGCTTGCATTGCGGAGTCATTGGACACGTTGGTATAAAGTGACTTACATCGAATGACTCCATTACATGCGTACTGTTTGGTTGCGCGCGCCTTAGGTGATCCAGAAATATTGTTAGGTAGATGGGTTGGAATGAATTTTAACAGCTGGGTTAGGATAAGGTTTAGGAACCACGTTATTCTATCTGTTGGCCCGTCTATGCAACTGATGATAGGTCTAACTTTATATGATGATGGGTTCGTTGACGTAATATCATCAGTTGAAGGAAGCTTATGTGTTTTAATAAGCAAGTAAAGGACAGGGCAAATCGGGTGTTCGTTCTTAAGTCGAGAAATAACTGAAGGCTCTAAACCTGCGGCCTTTCCGTGCTGACCCATTTTTGATTTAATTTTCGGTGTTGGTTTCTCTACTCCTTTTCAGAGGATGCTAAATAGAGAGAAACATCATTGAGGTGCTCCTCTGTTATCCTAATATCCAACTGACTGGGAAGAACTACAAATTCCCCACCTTTATCACCAATAGAAAGTCTAACAGATTTTGAATTCAAAAGCGCTCTAACCTGGCGCATACCACATTTTTGTTGATGTGTGACATTGGAGCTTATTTTCCGTTTTTGGTAGTGATTAAGTGTGATTTTTTTTAGTGATTAAGGCGATGATTTTGAAGTGAATGTGCGGATCCTAGCGCAGGATTCAATAACATCAACGCGCAAAACTCTTGAGGCGTTTTGAATAAATTTCAAAAATCCAAAGATGAACCGGAAAGACTAATGCCACACTCTCACGCGTAACCTGGCGACCTATTTCAAAACGATATTTTAACCTCGGGGCGTGTCTTGCTCGCGTGAACTACGTGTGGGCCAGTCCCGCACGTAACATCACGGTGAGTGGCCTTTCTGTTCAATATGGCGTCTATTTGAAAGTTTGAGCTTCATTAATACTTTAACCTTTTTTTTCCACCGAATAATAAAAATGTTCCAATATAAAATAGTCCAGGCTCTGAGGGAGGCAAAGTCGCCGAGACGTTATCCATCGACGAACAATACCAACAACAACGACAACGATGACCTGTACCAACCTCGCGTCAGCTTAAGATCAGTTTATAATATCATATAAACAAATATATCAACATTACTAATAGTGTAGTACTACTGTGACTTACGGTCTTATGGTTTCCATTTCAATGGAGAGCCCGGTGAAAGTCCTCATCTCATCTAGTAGAAAACGTAATATTTCAAAAGCGACTTTACTTTAACCTCGGTGTGACTAATTAATATGTATTCTTTCGTGGATGGCTTACAAAGGGTTAATCAATATAAAGTCTTCGTCTTCCTCAGAGCCTATGATCCGAGTCGATGTCCACAGTCGTTTGTTTCCTCGATGTGGTGTCAGCATGCCTCATTCAAGAGATGCTTCACTGAGGAAGGTCAGGCTCAGTGCGACAACAATGACACCATACCGAGAAAGGAAACGACTGAGGAAATCGATTCGGATCATCAGCTTTGAAAAAGACAAAGACGTCGTAACGCTTGTCGAAAATAAAGAGTATTTATCAAACTCGTGTAATTTTATCAAAAGAAGGATACATATTGATTGGTTCTCATCTAGTTTCAAGATCCAATCGTGTCAAGTAATTTCTGCAGGCTAGTGATTTCTATCTCGATGAAGAGCCCGGTCGCATCTTCTTATCTCGGTTTCAAGATCACATATTTCTCTATTTCATATCTGCTCACCCCTATAGCACTACCTTCAAATTGTAGGCCATAAATAATTCACGGATCTGCTCCGTTTACCGATGCAGAATTTGCCTATCTAAACGGTGTTGACCTTTACTGAGGATACAGTGGTTATTAGGCAATACGCTGTTATACGATTGCTGATTTCACCATCGAAACCTTCTTCTTCTTCTTTCTTCGATCCACTTTCTTCAGGCACTTTTGCAGTAAAGAGACAATAGCTTCCACTTTTTCGTCCACTTCTTCAACTCCTTTACTGCCGTTCTCAGCGACAGATGTTGAACTCCCACGACCGACTTTCTATTAACCTCGGCATTGATCAAGTAATTCTTCGCATTTTTGTTGAGCAAACGCGAGGTGTTATTATTCTTTATTCACAAATGAGCTGACGTTTCGGCGGATTTTTTTTTCCGAAACGTGTGTACGGGAAGAGAACAGAGAGAGGAGTCCCGAAACTTGGCACGGCAAATAGCCATTTCTAATGGCTACGAAACTGTAGCTCAGGATAGGTGTAGGGGAAATCCTAGGCCTCCAGACAACAACTCTAGCGATAGAAGGGTCCCGTTTTTTATAGATTGACCTTTCCAGGCTCTGAGGAAGGCGAAATCCGCCGAAACGTCAGCTCATTTGTGAATAAAGAATAATAACACCTCGCGTTTGCTCAACAAAAATACGAAGATGTTGAACTATTTTCGATGATCTCTCTTCTGTATACCATTGCGAAACGCAAATCCTCTTATACAATTTTCTCATGTCTTCAATCACCTAGGTGCTCTAAGTTTCGTAACATCCTTCTTTGCCGCAATCCATAACCCAAACGTTAGCACATAAAATGTCATTCTGTAGACATCCTTGTAGTTGGATCGTTTTTAGCCAGTCTGATGATGTGCTAAAAATGCGACTTGTGGATTGAGAACCAAGGAAGAGAGTTATTATTAGCCCTTGTTGTCCTGCAAAATCTGTGACCCATTATTTGCACTAGAACTGGCAGAATTCATTTGTTCCTTTCAAGTATTAGCATTACGTAGTGGGATTTGCTTTCTTAAGAAACGTAAAAATCACAACAATTCTGCCATTATGTCAATTTTCACTGCCCTCAACAGGAAGATATTCACGGGTATCTCGGTAGGAGCATCTATGGTATAGGTTTACCTTTAGCTGAGATTCGGGATCTCAACTCGTTGTTAGTTTTAATTATTTGAATGATCGAAATAGAACGATGGACCTGTGCTGATACGTCACAATTCGACACTCTGTAACACCTCTTTTTCACAGTGAGGCAATAAAGGATTAGGGTCGGTGATGTAACGTAATCTTTGTAAGGACATGTTAAGTTATAAAAAAACGGTTTTGCTCAAATACTCCGAAACAACATTGGTGCACAATTGCTTTTTTGTTTAGCCTTCCTCTATGTTTGATCCATCATCGTGTTTCTAGTTTCCTCAGAGGATAAGAAACAATATGTGAAGTACATGATGCATCACAGCCGATTTCATGCATTGAGATGTTAGATGATTGTAAGTGATCAGTGTTCCCTATAGACGTGAATTCTATAAGGCCTTTATTATAAAAGTAAAATTTCCTTTCCAAAAACAACGCCTGGTCAGAAACTTGTTCACTTCACATCACGATTGGTACAGTGGTAAAATATTTGTAAAAGATAGATTAAAATCTACATTAAATATTAGCATTATTAATATTTATATATTTATATAGTATTTATATTTGTATATTTATTTATTTGCGTTAATTGTAAAAGTAATATTTTCTTTCCGAAAACAACGCTTTGGCACTGACTATTCGACACGCGGTGGCAATCGTGAGCAGCAATTTCTAGAGAGACAAATATTCAAAAGGAAAAAAAAGACACGTACGTAAGAAAAAAGAGAATTAGGGCTGAAACTGAAATGGTATTTTAGACTTATTTGCATCATCATCAAGCGTTCTCGCAACTAGTTTCTGTTTATAAAACTGGAATCTGTTTATGTCCACACAAAATACCCTCACATTCTTCTTATATTGGTCTAAAACAGTGCAGGGGTTGAAGGTGCCTTGTGATGATGTGATGGCGATGCCATGTTATGTGATGTGGTGTGACCAGGGTTCGATCTCATGACCCAAGCTGACTAAGTTTTCCGTCCTCTTTGGGTTAGGAAATCGATATCAGGACTGTATAGAGGGATAAATACGCAAACTTGATACATCGATAGGCCGCTGTAAGTCATTGTATTGATAAAACTTGAATTCAGTTATCTCTACCATGCTTAGTGAAGTCAACTGCATGGGGCACCCTTGCTGAGGAAAGCTTGATCGTCTCATTTTATCTGTAACCCTTTTTTCCTGCATAATGACCTTCTAGTAAAGTCATCTACTATATTCAAAATGATGCATCCCCTGTAGGAGTCTGAAAGACCATCTAATGGTGATCTAACCTTTAGGCAAATATGACTAATTTTCCATGAAAAATGCTACTTCTGAAAACCGTAAAGTTTTCCTTTTTTGTTTTTAAAATAAAATACTAACTATAACCCAGTAGTTGATGTGTCTTCCAACCGTTTAGGTGAAAATCTACAAACAACATTAGCTGAATTATGTCATGTAGTGATGTTTTGGCCACAAAATTAATTAGATGTATGAGAATTCGTTCAGCTCTTATTAAGTGCCTTGATGGTGTCGAAAGCCCCCTTTGGGCTCAAGTCCTCCTTCGCAATCTTATCGGCATCGCGTTGAAGCAGCGCCAGCATCACCTGTACGGTTTCGTCCAGCCCGTACTCTACACGCCATCCCCAATCCTTCTTCGCTTCTGAGTCGTCTAAGGAACGTGGCCACGAATCAGCTGCAAATGATATATTCTAATGATTGGTAGCAACTGCTGTTTCTAGTTTAGTGGTTTTTCCCAAGTGGTGGATTTTTTCCAATAAGTTGAACAACTGCTGACATTTCACCAACACACAGGTTGAATAGTAAATAAATGGAATTGAGTGAAAACAATACGACGATCATAACAAGTAATGTGTAATGTGACTTTTTCAGTGCTAAACACCTCTACTGTCATGACAGTACCCTCTGAGACAGGCTTTCATTTCACTGAGAGGAAAGTCACACGATGTCCATGTCTTCCTTTGGAGATAGAGGTACTTATAGCGCAAAAGCTAAACGTGCCCTGGTACAAATACTGGATTGATCGCTGGTTGGATTCCACGCCCAGGGCTCCATAAGGCCTTTATTTTTAGGGAAATTGGTATATGGTCTTTCTGAGGAAATAAAACATCAGCTTGATATGTATTCTTTCACTGATAGTCCAACACGAAATTGTTGCACATAGGTTTCTCTTTTAGTGCTTATCAACTTAGTGTTAGCTTATTAGTGAAAGAATATATATTGGTTGGTCATACCGAGGCTGAAGGAAAGTCGGTTTTTGAAATCTGGCTACGATCTGTGCTAGCTGATGGTGATACCGAATTCTGGAGGATAAATTTCGGGCGAAAAACAAATTCTTATCAACCGACTATCATATTAGCAACAACCCTCCGGTATAAAAGGACTCCGCCAGATGAGGTGGCCTCATTTGAGCGGTGGTTCGTTGAAGAAGAATCGACTCGATACCGACGACGAAGACACCACATCGAGAGTGCGAAGAACTGTGAGCCATCGACTCGGACCATCTGGTCTGAAGAAGGCCTCGAAACGTTAGTCTGATTAACCTTATATAACAACTCCCTGTTGTCTACACATATGCTCTTACGAACTGCTCTTGTTGAGCTGATGCGAAGTTGGCAAAAGTTTGTTGTTGTTGTTGTTGTTTGTTGTCCTTGTTTGGTGTTCATTCTTTATATTGTTTGTTGTTATTGGGTGGCCGACGTTCCGGCGACTTCGCCTTCTTCGGAGTTGTCGTGTTGCGAATGGGACCAGCCATGTGTCGTTCAAGTGAGATAACTTCGTGTTAGCTTGTTAGCGAAAGAGTACGCATTGATTAGTCAGGCGGAGGTTAAACGAAAGTCGGACATTTAAGCACTAACTTTATATTTTTTACACTATTAAGCTATAAAGTTTGTGAAAATATTTATTCGGCTAATGTTTCGACACTTTCGCGTTCTTCAGAGCGGCATTGATCCATGTCGATGGTCCACAGTCGGTCACCTTCGCGTTGTGGGTCTTCGTAGTCACTTGACTCGATTCCTTCTGAATGGGGCACCGCTTGAATCAACTATGCTCGCCAAGCGCAGCCCTGGTTTATACAGGGCGGTTGTGATCTCTTGTCATATAGTGTGATCTGCTGTTTTGCTCTGGTGCTGGTAAAGCATTCTACTGGAGTAATGACTTGATACATTAAGAGGTTATCGCGATTCATTGTATATGCCAAATATACATTCGATCATCTCGATGCTGCATAATGAAGAACGTATCGTGCATCGTCAAGGCCTTTGATGAGCTGAACGCTTTATCCTTTGTGCTTCTTACGCTTGGAGAAAAGCAACAAGAAGAAAAGATCCTTATTATCATTAGAAAGATTACGTCACGAAATATCGTTACTGTAACTCTGCTGTATACCCCACTTGCTACTCATCACGTTCATTCATGTGGAGCCATATAAGGTTAAACCCACTGACCTTTAACCATTCTCAACCATCACGTAAAAACCTGACTGGTCTCACGAATTATTACTTGCCAGTATTTGCCGCTGATGAAAACGAATTGGCCGCCTTCTGGAACCGACGATCACCATTGAAAAATCTATCAAGAATTTGAGATTCCGAATACAAGATTGAGAAAATCCGAATGAAAATCATATTGCTGAGCCTTTATCCACACCATTCTTCGCCTACGCAAATCGATTTTTCGACAAAAAACAGCAATTGTCGCTGTACAGAGGAACAGCGCGTGTCCTTAGTGCAGTTTTGCACTCCGATATCCGCCTTCTACATGATAAGATTCGGACCGAGTATGTAGTTTAGAAGGACAAATGCTATAAATAAAAAGGTAAAGCAAAGCTTCTGTGAAGACAATTTTAGATGTAGTCCATCCCTTATATGACTGGCAGATCAAGAGAGATCCAACTGCAAACTATGAGCTTATCGATGAAGACTGCTCTGTAAGAAAAAAAACTTGGACTTGGGATTTTCAATGGCAATGGATCGCATTCGCTCCAACTTTGGAAAGCCTTCTGAAAAAAAAATTGAAGCTAGACCCGATCGCGTCAACAAATTCCACATCATGGTTGGCAGTACTACTTGCTTCAGTACTTGGACGCTCTGTATTCACTGGTTGTTTTGGCCTCAGGATAATTCCTATTCGTTTCTCACTACGCGATCCTCTCCATGACGGTGATCTACTTCGAATATGGAGACGTCCTCGAGACACATTCCGCTTTCCCAAAATCGTTTCGATCTGCAAATGCAGATGTTTGACGTCAGCCATAAACACGTCTGCCCAGTTATGTTTCATAAAACACCGTTCAAACGCTCTGAGTAGTGCAGAGCATTCTTAACGTGGTTGAAATGCTAGCCCACCTCTTAGCGCCATGACAGAGAGCTGAGAAAACCGTTGGGTCAAAGAGGTGAGAGCGGAGTTCAAAGTCCGTTAATTCATCGGTGGCTTCTTTGATAGGCCTGAATGTGGCCCGAGCTGTTCTCCTTTTTCAACCACATGCGACTATAATCGGCTGTTCCAAACCTCCTCATTCGAAGTCACGAAAAAGCGGTGGGTTTTTTCGAGAAGTTGTTGATCGTGTAATTACCAAAGAGTTTTTCGTCTTTTTGTAAGTGTCATTGAAGGGTTTGGCCTAGTAGATTGTATATCAGTATACCCTTCGAGGCTCTGAAGAAGGCGATACTGCCGAAACGTCAGCTAGCGTTGTATTGTATTGTGTTTTTCTGTGGAAGTAAATGTATGCTGTTTAAAAACCTCGCGATTGCTGAGCAAGAAAACGACACATTCATATCTCCTTTTTCTGCTTAATTTCTCCTTCATGTTGTTTTATATGTTCATCGATCGCCCAAGGTATACGTAAGAAATGGTCTCTACAATGAGAGAGCCATACAGTTCGATTTGTTCATCTTCGCACTATGAGTTCTTTATTCTCAGGAGCTTTGCTGTATTTATGCGCAGAGCAACCCTTTTTCTAAGTTATCCACAAAACAAAGATTTGATAGGAATTTCCCATCACTACGTATGGCCTTTTCGTCTCAATCGAGTGACTTCATTTTTCACTGCTGTACAACAGCAAATAGCTTTGGCCATACGGTGTCGCATTGTCGTACCTCTTCTTCTATGGGTATTGCAAGAGGCCAATGGAAAGGCGCTCCACTGGCAATGGTTTTCAACCACTAAATTTAAGATGACATGTAGTTTGCGAAAAGTACATGTAATTTGCTGCCACCAGCCTTGAGCAAATCCTCGGTGATATTATCGGGCCCTGGAGCTGTGCCTCTCTTCATGCTTGCTATGCAGACTCGAATTTCAGAAGGAAGAATCCCTGGCAGTTCTTTTACGAGTGCCGAGTTCAAGGACCGATTCAACTATTGTCGAGGAGAAAAGATTGGTATAGAACCTTTCCGCTATCAATTCTATATAATATTCGGATGCAATAATGGACCTATCATAGCTAATCAGGGTGAATCACCTGTATCGCCTGTAGTCCTGTCGAGCATCGAGGAAATCCTCCAACTTTACCTGTCGCGTGCAAGAGTAGCCCAGTAAGTTCTGCTCGCTCGAGGGACTCATCGAGAATCATTCTTATAGGCTTTTCGTGAAAAACTCTAACCATCGACTCGGTGGTCTTTTCGAAGTACGTTTGACATCCCGGGGATTGCAGTCACTAACGGCTCTTATCCATCGGTTGTCATTCATACGCATTACGTGTCCTGCCCACCTTATCTTCGACTGTTTTGGCGTAGAGAACGACATCTATGGTTTTTGATCGTTGACGCAGGTCGAAACTTCAGATCCCTTCCATTATCTATGTGAAACAGGGAAACAGGATACTCCTAGCATGGTTCTTTCGACTGCGCGTTCGATAACATTGAGTGATCTTTCATCCTGCTCACGAAGCGACCAGGTTTCGGACGCATACGTTAACGCAGGACGTACCGCTGAATCGAAAAGGTGGTGACAGAGTAGCATGTTCTATGTTGCCTTCACCACATCCTCGATGCTCTTAAAAGCTCCCTAAGCCGCTTTCCTTCTGCTCAGCTCTGGAGCTAAGACGTTCAACATGTTGATTTCCCGATCTAGATAGATATAACTAAAGCATTCGGAGATATTCGCTCCGCTGAGCGTGAATGGGAACCAACCCGTTCTTCATGAATATCGTTTTATGAGATTTAGAAGAGGACCACTCTTTCCACAGGCTTCATAAAAGTGGACAAGCACACGTTCCGCTTGGCTAATGTTTGGCGCTATAAGGACGACGTCATCAGTAAAGCGAAGATGATGTAACTGCCAACCGTCGATTTTCACTTTCATATTCTCCCATTCCAATACTCGCAAGACGTTCTGGAGGGTGGCGGTAAATAATTTTGGCGAGATTTTATCGCCTTGCCAAGCCACTATTTTGACGATAATGTTAATATCTTGTAGAATGGTGATATCTTAGTCTTGAAATTTTTGTACAGCTCACGAAGAATCTTTATGTACTGAGTAGGGATTCCTTGACTATCAAGGGCTTCCCAGACTGCTTCCATCTGATCTGAATCAAAGGCCTTCTGTAAATCAATGAAAGTGAGACAGAGCGGTCTTTTGTACTTTCACGAAACTTCAATGAGTTTTGTTATGGTGTGGATGTGGACATTTTACTAAGTCCTTTTTGAAATTCTTCTTGCTCATATGGCCAGTGTTCCATCATTCCTCTTTAGGATGTCTTGGGTGAAAAGTTCGTGGACGACAGACAGTAAGGTGGTTGGGCGATAGTTGCCGATATAGTGCAGGTCACCCTTTTTGAACAATAACACGGTCTTGCTAGTTTTGCACTGAGTAGGAACTTTGCATTTAGACAGTTAACGTGTGAGCAGCCGAGTTTGTGTGCTTACGGAGACTGGCGAAAGATTCTTCAACTGTTCTAGTCTTATCCAGTCCGGACCTGGTGCTGTTCGATTTTTCACCGACGAAATGACATGTCGGATTTCAGAAGGAAGAACCGGTGATACAACATATCCATCCTCCCTTATCTCATATGATGGAAGGTGGACGCGGCTACTGAAGAGATCTGATACTCGTGAATGATTTTCTCCACTGCCTTTCTGGATGCTGTAACTGTTCCATCTGGGCATCGAAGTGCAGTCATCTTGGCCTTGCAATTGGCAAAGCTTCGGTGAATTTTACGAATGCTTTTCCCAGCCTCTTCAGCTTTGACCATCACTGCTGCTCTTCTCTCTTTCAGATCTTCTTTGATCGCCTGTCTGCACTTTTTCGCAAGTTCGGACGTTAGTTCGCGGTTGCCTGCAGCTCGTGCGATTCCTCGCTGGCGTATCAGCTCGAATGTTTCTGAATACAGATGTCTCTTGGTGACTTTTGAACTTTCAGCTTTCATAGCGTTAACATGAATGTTTTGAATGACCCAATCGTATTCTTCTTCGATGTTACCGACAACGGCATCTTCCGAACAGGCGACTAATGAATTGAATAAGTCCCAGTTTACGGTGGTTTTGGGGCTTTAGCATTTAAATTCAGCCGCATTTTCTCCTTTCCGAGAGAATTTCAATCTTCCACGGGGGAGGCGATAGTCTGATCCCGTGTAGTATTTTGGAATAACAGCGGCATCGGTTAGGCAAGACCTTCTATTTACTATTACGTGGTCTATTACGTTATGTCACTCTCCATTGGGAGATTCCCACGTCCAGCGTTGAGGGCAGGGTTTCTGGAATTGCGAGTTACTATGGGTTGTCTTGGTCGTCGTGGAAAGCTCGGAGAGTGACTCACCTTGTTCGTTCCATTCCAATCCGTGGTTTCCAATGTAACGTCCTTCAGACGTTTTTTGGTCCCAGTCTTGGAGTAAAATCTCCAATGATGAAGAATGTACGGTATTCTCTGCAAAATTTTTCCAAGTCCATATAGAACGGTTCGACTTCTTCGTCATTGTTTGATGTTGGCGCGTAAGCGATGAAAATAGTCAAAGCCGGTATGAATCCATATTTAGTCAATCGTAAGCGTTCGATTCGGGTTGTTAGTTGTTTGAATGAATCAATGTTCACGGACAAACTCGTGTTGAAGAGAACGCTGACTCCGCCGACTCCTCTACTGTCGCATATTCCGAGAAACAGTCCTCCTCCGGAGTTATAGACGCCATTGAAAGGCTGGCGTCTTCTCGTCTCGGCCAGACTGATGACGTCGTACCTTCTTGCTTGTATGAGCAAGTCTTCTATCGAGGACTTGGATGCAAGTGTACGTGCATAATAGGTACAGATCGTCATCATTGTTCTTCGTGATCCAGGCAGCTTCCATCGGCCCTGAGATTTTAGCAGCCTCTCCGTACTCGTCGTACCCAACGCTGTCGAATTGGGGATCTTTCTAGGTCAAAAAAATGAGGCCCGTTTCTTTCACTGTTTTTAGCTTTTTGATACTCACGTATAGCTTGCTGGGCTGTGAACGTAGGAGCTGGGTATACTCACGTGTAGCTTTCCAGGCTGTCCCAGAGTAGACATGGAGCTTATTTGTTGGAGGGACTCCTAACCACCACCCGTATACTTCCCCGTCATTTCATTCCAGGCTTTTAGCCGAATTGACTTGTAAAATACAATCTGCATAAGGAAGAACGCACCCACACACTCGTGCATGAATACGCCTTGTAAACACAGAAAGTATGCGTAAAATCGGCGCATCAGAAACAGAGAGTCATCCCTTGGATCCACCTGCGTCTCAAGAAAGCAAAGGTTGCTTTTGGTCCACGATTAACACCCCATCCGCTACCTGGGACCCGCCACGTAGCTTTGCGACTAATCTGCTATTGGGATCCATCATATGAGGAAGGTCCGTGTTCAGGGTAAATAGCGGAACATTATATTGGCAAAAATCTCGACGTACTCCTTAAGACGGAACCGTTTTTCAGCTGCGTGCGTTAGCTTTTTCTTTTTATACCGACACAAATCCTGCTTTAAAGATCTTCTACAGCAGGCTTTTATTATCATTCGTGTTAGGGGTGTTGCAGTAGGATCATGCTTCAGTTTTCTGACAGTATGTTGTGGAAAGACTTGAAACTTATGGTTGAAATCACAGAATTAAGAAAAATGTAAAGCTTTTCAACGTACCGATACATTGTCGTACGTTACAAATGGAATAGTCGATTTCAAAGTGCGGTATTATCTGAATCATAGTAGATAACAGACATGATATTAGAAATTTTATTTAATGTTTCGTACCTTTTTTATTGCATTGGCAATATCAACGGGAGTGAAAGAGAATCCTGTGACGTTGTACGTTCGATGAGTAAGCGATTCAGAAGGAGCTGACAGAAACTAAAGCAGTGATCGTACTTTTGACTGGATAGAGTCGAATTTTTGGGATAATAAAAATGCTGCAATTATATATTAGGAATTTACTCCCAATAAGAATTTAAATATCTTCTTATTTATTCATTTCCTACTCTTATATGGGTCGTTTAAGCAATCGGAAAAAAATAAAAATATAATGAAAACTGAATTCCAGTCAGTTGTCACAGTAGTCAATTTTTTTTAACATAACCCAACATCACGTGTAACACACTGCGCTGAACCCAGCGCCATCTTCATAGTATTCGCTCCTCATATTCAAAAGTCTCCAAACTTTCCGAGCACGTGTTCGACTACTGTTTGAGGATCGTTGACTTCTTTATGAATTTCATTGAATGTCGCTCGAATAAAATCTCCCTGGAAACCTTAGTTTCCCGTGTGGATTAGAGGAGTTCACTTGTCTTAGATATTTCTCTATTCTTTGATATCTTTGATCCCGAAGTGATAAGAGCTTTGGTCGATCTGAAGCAGAGTTGAACCAGACACTGGGTAGGCAGTGGCTAAATTATATTCTAATAGCGTTGACGGAAAGAACTTTAGTAACAGCGTAGTCTGCTCAACAAGAATGAACTGGATTGACTTGAGCTTACTATTAAGTGTCTGACACTAGGAAAGTTTCTCTCCACAGAATGAAAGCCTTTAACTTTTTCTCCACTGTCCGACTTACGCAATATCTAATTACGAATTTTGTTTCACGCAGACACAAACTCACAACTAAGCGACAATGAATACGGTATGACGGTATGGGTACGCTCATGTTCAGCTCGTGTCAGTGGGGTCTTGTCGCTGTTATTCGTCAATTTTACCTCTGCCTCATCGGCTAACCATTGATCGATCGGTTAACTTTCACTTGTCACAACCTTGGGATGGAAATTCATTTTAGGAGCTGTGTTTCATTTTACTGCGTCATTGTTTTTTGTGAATCTAACGCGAATCTTTCGTCCCGTCTCAGTGTGATTGATCAAAACATGGAACATTACCGGTTTCCAATCACTTATTCCTTGAAGAATGACAAGTTTTCACCTGGATAACAGACGCCATACAATCAGTATCATACATCAACGGCAATGTTGTGTCCGGACGAAGGTAGCATGTATACCGACCTCTTTTCAGTGCTTCATAGAAAATCTCGATAGCATAATCTGAAGGGTTCAAGATCAGAAAGTGAAAATATCTATAAAAATTCAGCGATGGATGTTGTGGTTAATTTGGAGCAGCTATCTAAAACATTCCTTAACTTTGGAAATTAGTCCCATCACCTGTACTTTTCTTGTGCCCAGTTTCTCAAGTGGGCAGCCACCAATTCTTAATTTGTCCCTGTGGAGTGATTTACTAGGTTTGGTTTAGTCTAGGCACATAAACAGCCTTATATATGCTTACATATACCTTTCAAGATTTTATCAAAGAATGTTAACTTTTTTATTTACTGCTTATTAGAATTTTTCATGCAGGGTATCATGTATGATATAACCAAGATATGATCCCTTAAAGAATTTTGGAAATTGGGCGGTGGTCTTCCTGCTGTCTTGTAGGAACCAACGCTTTATGCCTTCTGTTCATCGCTTTGCCGCTGCGCAGGAGGGTCTTAGTACAATCCTGTGGATAAAGCGTATTATAGCGTTAAGTGATTATCCATTTGCAAATGAACCGTATACGTTTCTGAAATGTACGTTAACGCATGGAACACCACAGGGATGGGAGAAGAGCACCGAATGACCTTTGCCATATTCATTCTGTGTTCTAGCAAGATTTCAATTTGGAGCTATTCGAATCAAGCCTTATATTTTCAACATGAGCGCTAAATGCCATGTCGATCATGATCTATTTTTCGATTAATCAGATAACCAAAAATGCGATAGATATTGGTGGAACAGAATAGTGATAATTTATTTAATCTACTGAATCTATCTAGTGTAAAATAATTTGACGGCGAAAGTTAGTTGCGAAATTCCGGACACGACACAAAACACGAATCAATGGGACGTTGCAAACGTACCCGTAGTACCTCCACCTGGCTTCGTTGTTGAAATTATACCTGGAAAGCGAAGACAGCGAAAATCCACACCAAATTTATGATGGTAGTATTCACCAAGTCGCTCGGCATATACCTGCAAAGTGTCTAAATTTAAGAGGAAAACAGTAGGAAAAATCTCCTGGCGGACATTCCTAAGAAAGTGTCCGTGTAGGTGAAAAATCAGAAATATCATAGCAAGTGGTATGAAAAGCTAAGTGCTTGGGTCACTAGTTGCCCTTCATTTTCAAATTATATTACAGAAACATACATATCATTTCATAATTCTCTTGTGGTGTTTCGAGGCAAAGTTCGAAATTCTACGAGTGAATTGAAAAGACTATAATGCCTCTTTACCACGTAGAACACGGAACCGTATTTCAAATTGACTCCTGATTATAGCGAGATTCACTCATCTATCTGAGAAGTTTACAACTGGTCTTACCCATTATAGACTAGACAAGGGAGAAGGACTAATACCCGAATTGTTTCATTGAAATGACAAGACTGTTCACCGAATATAAAGTAATACATTAAGCGCGCAACCGAGACATTGGTCGTAAAGAGCTAAAAAACTTTTGGACCACCACGTGACTTTTTCTGAAGGCAGTTCGTAAAAATCCAATAACGTGTTTACTGATGGATAACTGAAATTCGATCCTCGATTTATATCTTTTTGTGTTTGGGATTTAATACGTCAAGAAACTCGTTATCAGTATAAAAAATTTCGCTGTTATAAAAGTACATGATAGAAGAGCTTTATAAAAAAAGTCGAACTATATGCAAGAAAGCACCAGACTCAAAAAGAAAGTTTTCAAAACCTTTGACACTCCATAAATGGTTGTAGGAGCTTGTATGGTAGAGTCAGGAACGTTGTCACGAGGCGTAGTTGGTCCAAACGCGCCTATCGTTGACGGGATAAACACTTTCAGTTGATGTTTTCTGTAAAGCTAACAAAGTTGTTAATAGCAAATAGTAAAGAAGGACTCTTGGAACTGTGCAATATTTAATTTCTTATTTACTGGCCGTTATTTTTCAGGACAGATTATTATGTGCTTTACAACCACAATGATGCTGAGATGTTTGAAAAACGTGGACGCTAGGCAAGATTCGAACCCTTAATTACCCTTTGTGGAGGTTCACGTGCTACCTATTGCACCAATGAGACCAATGCCTGACGGATGGTTGACGATAGTATCGTTAGGGTAAAAGAACTGGCCAAGAAAAAAGCAAAGTAAAGCCTTAAGGACGCAGCGGCTAACACATGAGCCTCCGGAAAGGTTAATTGAGGTTCTAATCCGATTTTATTCTAATCTGGACCGGGGTCCAAGTTTCACTGCAAAATAGCTTGTGTTTCTCCGCGCCTTTTTTTAAACCGCCAAAGTCCTTCTTAGTTTATTACGTGCGTTTACAGTTAAAAATCCCTTAAGAGAAACGTATTTGAGTGAATGAATGTTAGTGCAAACGATGGATTCCGGTTTCGTGGTCGTGCTCCACGTGGGCAGAGTGATGAGAACGGGAATGATTGTTGATCGCCCCACAGCATTCCGATCATAGCGCTGATCGCGAAGACACTATGTAATTGTATGTGGTCACCAAAAAAAGGAGGTTTTTGTAATCTTCTACGAAAATTTACTTAGAAAATCGACTAATGAATCGGCATTTTTTTAGCTCAGAAGAATTTCTGAGAAACTGTAAAATTGCCGGAAGTAATGTGTCACCATCCGTACTGCATTTTATTAGTGACAGTGTTTTTGGCGCTGCTTTAAGAGCCATTTGTGAAACGAAATTTATGAGAGGTGTATCTTGAAACTACCTATGGCCGGCGTTAGAAACTACAGTAAACAGTAGATTGTCAGCTTCTTATTTACTTTCCATTACAATTTTTCACTGCAGGGTATTAAGTGTGGTAGAACCATAATGAACCTGAGATATCTGAAAAATTCCGGACCCCAGGTGCCTTTGGTAGGAGACGAACACGCTATTACCCTTTTCGGGAGCTAACACGTTCACCACCACACCACGCGTCTTCTTTGTTTCGCCATTCTCTCAATTTGCAGATTGTCTACAGCTCGGTTATTTTTGCTCCTCTGGATATCTTGAGCACCGGTCGAGTTCATGTTCTCTCTATTTCTGATGCAGGCGTCAAAGGACTTTTCTAGATCCTCGTCACAGCTACTCGCTAGCTTTTATATCGTAGATTGGAGGAAGCGAATTGCTCTCCAACGAGACTAGTAGCAGTTTTCAAAATCCTGAACAGAAAGGAAGTTGTGAGAGCTCAGTGTGTCGTACTCACACTGAACGACGTTACTAACCTGCGTTACCAATCCCATTGAAAAAGGAAATGAAATTAACAAAAAAAAAATGGCGTATAGTCTTTTTGTCAATCACAATTGATAAAAAAACGGTCAAGACAGTGTAATGCGATCACCTTGCTACTTCAAGAATGTTCTCTACTCCACGGCAGTTGACTTGAAGTGATAGATTGACGTTTTGTTCTCCAATAGCGCTAAGCAATGCCGAAAAATGTACGATGGTGTCAATTCTATGATCGACCACAAAACGCTCGATACACGGCTGACTGAGAATGTCCAGATAAAAGTAGTTGTCTGAAAAAATGTTTTTCTTTTTGTTTCGAGTTGAACTCTATCAAACTAGTAAACATAATTTTGCTAGCCAAGGTATAGTATCAAATGGATATGAAATGAATCTATGAAACTTATGGTAAATGTCATGTTTGCAGGTAAACATCTCTACGAGACTTTATGTAGTCGAATTCATGGTGAGTCTTCCACGGATTGAACAACGCTTTACGTTTCATCTCTTATCCTTTATGTCGATAAATAATTAACTATGTTCATCAAAGTTTATGCATTTCGCAGTTGCATACTACAGTTGGTTACTAAATAGCGAGTTACGGTTAACTCGTCCACAACCCAATGGGGCGCCCCATTTCCAGATTTTATGATTATGACTTTATTTTTTCTGCTTTTATGAAATGGAGTGTTTCGCCGGTAGTGGAGCACCATTGCTAGTCATTCCCCTAGAATTACCGGTGGCATAAAAACACAGTTTGGTCGGAACCATCTCAGGCCTTCAAATTGGATATGGTTAACAATTGTGGACCATCCCAACGGTTAACCGCCTCATCGTCGCTGGGAGGTGTTCCTGGGCGTCGGACTGAGATGTACAGTGGAGGATTCATGCCCCGAAAAGGTCTCCCAAGCTGAGAAGGAGTCCGGCGTCTCCACCGGGAAACCTAGTTAAGAGTAAACCAATGCCAGGATCCGCCACCGTCCTGCTATCAAGGTCGCATGGTGGTAAATCTCCCTCTGATCCACAAAGGCTGCAACTGCCTGTGGTGGTGAAGACCTGAGGAAGACTTTAGTTAGGCTGACCTCTAGACTCCAGGGAACCATAATGGCTTAACCAGCAAATCTTCGAAAAATGGCGATTATGCTGAGGTCCGCACAACCAGTGAGGACGGGCCATTCAAGTATCAAGTAAGTAGCACAATTGTGGATTGGAAAGATCTTTGCAGGATAAGTATGGTACTAATGTGCTGATCCTGGAGTGACGGAGTTTTGCTTGGCACAAAGGGATATCCAGTCAAATACCATATGCGCATTGTATGAGAAGTCTAAATTGTAAGCTACCTAAACTCGTTCAAATAATAAACCGATACTAGAATAAGCTGTAGTACCGTACTCACAGATATCTGAGGCATTTCGTGGTGCTTTAAGGATGTCAGTCATTACCACACAATCGTCTCCATACATGTACCTTAAAAGATTCTTTCACTTTTTTTAAACTTAACTCTATGCTTTGTTCGAAAATCAAAACACTAAGCTCGTGATTTTCACAAGTTACGCCTTTCTAACAAATCAATAATGAAGAGGACATATACATATTCAGTATTTATCTGCTCCGTTTACGATTTTTATTGCTTGTGATCGTAAATTCGTTAAGACCTCAAGTGGTTTAGTGGGCATAATTTTCGTAGAAAAATTAAAAGATGAAGCGCACTGCGTTGAACTATTCTTCAAATTTGATTTTATTTTATTTAACATGACTCATCAGCACTTCTACTGCGAGGATCACAGCACTGCTTGCATTCGAATCGTTTCCTCACATTCAACATTCACAATGGTTTTTGAACATTTCGCCTGTCGTCTCAACTGCTGCTTGGGGATTTCGTCTTCTTTATGGATGTCGTAGAATGATGATCAAGTCAACTCCTTTTGCAATCGTGGAGATGGCCGAGCTGAGGTATTCCTAAAAGTGGACTGGAGGACAGCGTTGGGGGGTGGGTGGTGGGGTGTGGGAGGATCGAAGTAGCGCCTTTGCCTCCTGATCGATGTCATCATTAGTCACTGCGCTATTCCCGCTCACCTATCCTTTAAAGCAGATATACATTGAGCTTCTTCAAGTTCCATAAAGGTTACTGAGTGTATATTTTTTAGACAGATCGGGATCGGTCTAACTTCAAAGTGAGCGAGGCTTGAATAGTTCCGGGATATGTGATCGAACTGATGACGATGTTCGTCGCAGAGGATCTCTAGATATTGCGGTGCACTTGCCCATTTTTTGCCATACAGGCAACAAATGTAAATAGTCATAAACATAACAAACTAGACACAACATCAGCACATATAGAAATATATGTTGAATAAAGCAGCAATGAGTAAAAGTCATTCACCGCTTTGCACAAAAGAGTTGTTCATTGGACTCCGCTCCCTCAAGGAATACAAGCAGTATAACACTTTTTCACTGTTCCGCAATAAAATAAAAAGAGGTTAGCATGTCCGGTGCCAGCGTAGAGTAATCTTGTCCTCACCTAGGCTTCTGAGTGAGAATGTATAAGTTCTCAACACGGCATGGGAAAACATGCCACGAAGTGACCGTCTAACTCGACATCGAGGTTCAATTTCCAAGAATACCCCTCAATTTTCATTCATTCTAGGAGGCAATGTTCTAAAACTGTAAAATTTTAACGCCGTGTTTTTTTGTAATTTATCCGGATCGGCCGGAATAATAAATCACTGTTGTTATGAATGGATTCTTTACGTATTGCAAGGAAGATACAACAACTCATAAAGGCAAATAACTGCTTATAATTTCGGAGTTCCCAGAAAAGTGCTCAACCATGCAACATTCTTCGACCATGCAACGTTTGTTTAATGAAGAGGGAAGGCGATAGATCTACAAATCGGAACCGAAGCTACTCATAAACCCGAATGCATCCATCGATAACAATTAAACGGCAACTAAGTATTTGGATGAAATAGTTTGATCTCATCTTCAAAAAGCAAACCTAATATTAGAGAGCGGTAAATGGTGTCACACTTCTCTAGGAAGGTCTAGCCGATTTATACATGTTAGTGGCAGTCCCTGGAGAAAACCTTCAATCGTTATCCCAGGAGTCCACAGTGAATAAATTCAACAAGTGTTCAGTGGCGTTCATAAAGGTGACCTAGTATTCTCAATGAGCGGCGAACTACGGGAAAATTCCAGGACTTTTGCAGATGAAGGATTTGAGTAAACGAATTGAATGAGGGAAGACCTAGAGTTAGCACAAAATATAAAGACGGGTAAAGTAAAAAAATTTTAAGAATAATTAATTGAATTAATTTGCTGAACAGAAGTAGAAAGAATAATTAGTTGTATCCTTCTCCCAATGGTTTACCGCCTCGTCGTGGCTGGAAGGTGTTCTTGGGTGTCGGGCTGGAATGTACAGCGAAGGGATTAATATCCTGGAACGGTCTCCTAAGGTGAGAATGAGTCCGATATTTCCATCAGGAATCCTAGCTAAAAATAAACCAATACCAGGAACCGTCACCGTCCTGGTACCAAACTGTTCGCATGGTGGAAAATCTCCTGCTGATGCACAAGGGCGGCTACTGCCTGTGGTGGCGATAACCTGAGGCAGACTGGCCAGGATGACCTCCGCACTCAAAAAAACCACAGTGGTTAAACCTCCATAACACGAAGAAAAAAAGTGGAGATTATGCTGAGGCCCGCATAATCAGCGAGGAAAGGCCATCCAAGTATCCAAGTTCACTTATGATTAAACGGTTTTCGATTTATTGAGATTCATTACATGCAACTAAGAATCGTTAAAACTTACAACTTCAACTGCTTTGCACCGATAATTATAATAAAAAAATTACTAGCTTTGTCTCACTTACCTATACACAGAGTTGAGACCTCGACCCAGTTGACCAAGTGCGCCAGTGATCAGCACTCGTGGCCGCTCATTTGTGCTTACTGCAATCGCCTTAAACCTAGCCAAGGGATCAGCCTGAAAGGTCGGGTCCTGTAAATTTTGAACACTACTGTGCGTTATTAAAATACGGCATACAGATAATATAGAAAAAATCTAGGGTGGAAATCCTGTAAGAATATAACCTCAATGATGCTGAGTTATTTGCAAAACTCCGGACCGCAGGTGTAGGCGGTAGGAAACGAACATGCGCTGTTGTCCTTACCGGGTAGTAGCGCACTTCACCACCACACCGTCCGGGTCCTTCGTTTTGCCTGTCTTTCAGCTAGTTCTATCGTTCTTTTGCAGTCAGCAATCACACGTCACGTTAAATTGTGATTATAACTGCGGCCTCAGCTTAACTGGGTTCGTTGCCAATTTGGGCCTCCCAGAACAATCCCGTTGACGGGTGATTGCTGATGGCAAAAGATCGATAGAAGTAGATGAGAGACAGGCAAAACGAAGGACCCGGATGGTGTGGTGGTGAAGTGCGCTACTACCCGGTAAGGACAACAGCGCATGTTCGTTTCCCACCGCATACACCTGCGGTTCGGAGTTTTGCAAATATCTCAGCATCATTGAAGTTATATTTTACAATGTATATCCTGCCGTTAAAAAGAATAGGCAGTAAATAATACGTTAAACCTGTAAGAATAGTTTCCATTTCGGTCTCCTTAGAAAAATTGCAGCTGTATTATATTTTCACAGCGCCATCTGCATCTGGCTTTAAAATATTTATGTCTTATTTGCGATGGAATACCGCACTTAATTATTTATTTTTATTTCATTTCTACTAATGAGCCTATCGCATTCTGTTAGAGTTCGTTGGCTTTATAAGCGTTTAACTATCAGAGTTTGAGGTGCAAATAATTCAACCGCTTTCAACTTTTCGCATGCCACTCGACCGTTGAGCCTTCTAGGCCTAAGAAGATAAGTTTACCCATGCTTACGATGTTTGAATCTTTTTTGTTTTACCAAACAATGCAAAAAATTTTTTCACTAATATTCCTTCAATTTAAGACAAAGATTTTCTACCGTTGTAACACTTACCGGAAGCGTGTACGCCCTTCTACAATTTGTATTGACGCCATTTATTGTGAATCCAGCGAGTTTTCGAGAAATTGAAACCATTTCGATTTGATATTGAATGAATTACTTCAACAATATCTGCAAACAAGAAAAAGTAATTAAGCTTACACTGTTTTACAAAATCAAATCGACGTGTTTTTTGCTAACAGGACAAGGATCGGCAATACTGTGGATTTATCTCCTCAAAAATGTCGGCGAAGAGTGCAGGGGTTAGACATCCCGTGTAATAAATCCATGTAGTGACTGGTTCAACCCGTTTCAGACTAAGCAGCTTTTTATGTATCCAGAACCGCCATTTTTGTCCAACCTTGTCTTGAGAAAGCTCACAAAAGCCGGAAGCTATCACAGCTGAAGACTTGATCATGGCTTGGTTGAGCTATCGCAGGATTCCTGGTTGAATGAAGCTAGTAAGCACTAGACGACTCGACGAAAAAAACGAATTCCTTGAATGCCCAACCCACATGCATATCCGAAGACGTCCATCAGTGATGCATATAGTAAAGAGTATCAAAAAAGAATCGCTAACATTCGTACAATATGCGAAGTCATGCCCTTTGAATAAATGAAGCAAAGAAATAAAGTCTTATAAGATACAACCCTCATTTATTTAGTTCTCGTTGGTTGCAGTAGTCTCCATTGTGCTTCAATAAAACTGGTCGGAAGGTATGCATAGGGGACCCTCTATTACAAGTTTCTGGAATACTCCAAATCAGGAACACTTAGCTTGAATGGAAGATTGCCTGAAGCTTTAGCTTGACGCTATTCATAAAAAGAGTCTACATATTCTATTGTTTAGGTCAAGTTATGCACAGTGGACTTGATCGACAGTCAAAGAAATCCATCAAAATTGATAAAATTACGGTGCAATAGTATTTGATAAGACAAAGACGACCAACGAAAAACAAATCGCTACTTAGTGATAACAATGAAGTGATAGGTGGCAATATACTTCCGATAGCTGCTGCGTTGCTTTGCTCCTGATTTTTTTCTGTCCTTATCTTTTGGCGAACACGGAGCTGCATGTTTTTTGAGCTTATTTTACATTCGTATTTCGATTCAATTTCAGTTCGAATGGTGCAGCACATTTGTAGTAATGCCGTTTAATAGGCACGCAGTTCTAACTCGAACGTGCTTGAACCCAAGCCAACCTCCATCCCTCCTGGTTAAGGCACTGTTGCTAGACTTCTCTGGAAACCCCCTCCGATCCACATAGCAGTGGGAGTCAAGCATGGCTATTTAAGGATTTCAAGAAAAATCGACTCAACCATCATTCATGGATGATCACGGCGAAGACGAAAGAATTGTCAAGATGCAGAAACGCAAAAACCTAAAAACTTCGTAGGTGATAGAAAGGGGAAAACGATTTGAATAAAAGAAATGCGCGGATCGGCACAGTAAGGTAGGTGTGATGTTGGGTGAAGCAAAATTAAAAAAAAACTTCAGTTGAACCTGAACCACGCAAAACCTGTCCAACTTGACAATGCACTGGCGTACGTAATTAAGCCGTTCTTTCATATACATATAAATATCAGCAGCATGACTCAGCATAACCTTTTTGGAATTTGGTCTCAGTTATGAAATTTAGAGTCATTACAGTACCTAATTTTTGCTGACATGTTCAAATATAGGTGCTATATTAGAACAAACATTGGACCTCTTGCTCGGATAAAAGCATTTGAAGCCTCTATCAGACCCCCTGGAATGACCAGTGAGAATCGAGGACGTTGTATTTTCATCAAATTTCCTACGGTACTTTCCTATTTTAATAATATCCTCAGAATTTAAAGAAAGGCTATTATAAGAATTTATTGACCAAGAATTGGTTGAGGGAAATTCCGCGATCCATTCGCCCAATGCGATTTGCTATAAATATGAATTAGGCTACAGTATGAAGGTTATTTGTAGGTCTTCTTCATTGACTGAATGTAACTTCGATGGTGTATGATGCCCTTTCAAAAAATGAGATGGCCATTTTAGAACATTTTCAACCGGCAGCTTAGACATTTGCTAGCTTATGTGGGAAATTTGCATCCTTTCACCTAAGATACTTCCAGGACAACAACGATTCTTCTGACGGTAGCAAGGCTTGCGGTATGCTACTACAGGCGGCTTCTCGACTTTACGAATGATTTCGAATTCGTGCACTAAACTGACTGGTTTTTTTCGCTTTTTATTCTATTTTCTTAAATCCGATACAAATTTATACGGAGAAAAGCAACATAAGAATGTGGAACGAAACTTGTGGGCTAAAATTGCCTATAGCGCATTAAGAAAGAAAGAGTTACTTAAAACAACAAAACCCTGCTTAAAAACTCTAAAAGAAGAAGGAATTAGAAGGAAAGCGAGCAGCACAGGCCATATTGCAGCCCCTCTAATATGTCACCAACCAAACAACAGATCCAAAAATCCGCGTTTTCCATTCGACATCACCTTCGTTCCAAAACTCTGCTATTCAGCAGAAACCTGTCCTGATACTTCAACCACGTCGTGAACTCTGAGCGTTACCCAAACATCGGTGGAACTCTGTATTCTGAACTTTAACCAGCAGTCACAACATCTGTCCGGAATGCGCCAGCTCAGATCTTTGGGGCCTATCTCTTCGGTATCCACGAGAATATACGACGATAGGGAAACAAAAACAGGTTTGTCATGCAATAAGAAGAGCAGACGAAAAATGAACGGAAAAAAGTGTAGAGTGGACTCCATGATGATCTAGTCATTACTTGGAACGACCGTCTACATGATTGGTCGAACGTGTTTGTAACTAAAATCAGTCGACTGTACTCTCAACTGCAGATTTGTCACAGATCATCACACTCCCATACATCACCATTCCCGAATCAAGCCACCACAACGGACGAGTGAGAGGCAAAGAAACAGATGGAAAATGTGCTGAAGTCCGCACTACTCGTGTGGTCCGACCGTCCAAATGTTTAAATAAGTAAACGAAACATCTATTTGAAGAACCCGAGATACCGTGTTGAGTGACGTAATATTTTCAAAAAAAAGCCAAAGAAGGAACGGAAAAGAAATTAATGGAGAACGGGCTTTTCTGAGAAACTTTTACACGAGAAGAAAAAACTCGGTGGTTCATGATTTTTAATTTCATTTTCAATTCGGTTTTAAGACCTTAAGACAGAATCATTTTTTTCTCAGCTTCGCATAAAAAACCTCTAACTGGGTTTTCTAAATAATCGTCCATTTTACGGCCAAGGTAACATCTGCCTCCATTGAAAAGATGTTTTCGCGTGTGAGACTTCGTAAAATTTTAGAACAGCTCACACCTCGTTGGTTTTGCTTCATATGGGGCAGGTGATGATCATATATGGATACTCGTGATGTTCCGTCTAGTGTTGCCCATCAGTTGATAGCTCAATGTGGACGCCTAAGCCGGTTTGGTGAATGTCGTCGTCGATTTCGATGATCGTTCATCATTTAGCCGATCGTCATTCAGTATCGTCGCAATTGAAAGTCTTCGAACATTTGTTTCTCCTATTACTCATTATATAGTACTGCTAGTGAAATAAAAACATTATTGTGCTCCGAGTTTTCATAAAGCAAAAAGGTAACAACTTCTTACTCGTAAATGACTGCTGCTTTATTATGATCATCACTATTATTACCTGTTAACTGTAACTGAATTAGAAAATTCTTCTGAAAGGTAGACAGTCAGCAAAGTTTCCAAGGAGAAGATGCTTTCTCGAAGAACATAAGCGACATCGCTTCAACATGAAATAATTTGTTTTTACAATACCTGTTGACAATCCGTAACGGTGTTGTAAAAAAAAACACCCTTTATTCCGACGAACGATTCCTGAGATTTACATACGCATTCTCAAGTCTCCACTAAATTCACCCGTCAGTTTCTGTATAAAGAGCTCTCCTTATGCTAGTACTAAATTCACGATCTCTCGGCGTTATGAAGATCAGATGATCTGGTGCTGCATTAGACCTTGGCCTTCCACTTATTGAAAAACGTCTCCATCGCTGCGTTGCACGTGCACCGCATAACAACAATGCCAGTAAGTAGTGATATTTAATAATATTTGACAACCAACCACAAGGATGCTGAGATACGAGCTAAACTTGGCACCTAAGGTGCACTTCAAACAAAATAAAGATAATACCATCCAAATAAATAAATAAGAGCCCAAGGTCGCATTGCCACTGGTTGCACAGGATTTCTGACAAATTCATGAAGCAGCTGGAAAAAAAAGCTGAATATGAGATAGAGATGGTAGGGAACAGACTTCTTCGTAGGCATTCTAGAGAACCAAGACATCAAGGTTGGATCAAGGCCTGGTGAAAGGTTGGATTTCTCACATGAATACTAACATCAGAATTTTTTTTCAACGTTGAAGACATAATGAAAAACAAGTCGAATGAAAAAGAACATCGACCGCAATTCATAACAATTTATTGATGGCAAAATACTAGACGAAAGCGTAGAAGAACTATTGACACAACAATATTTCTATAATAACTAACTGTTGATTAGAACTCCTTAAAAAGAAATCGACCACAAATTCTCGAAAGAGAGCTAAGACCTCATTCCTGAGACATTTTAAAACGGTGAGAACGCTTAACACACTAAAGATTTTTGTAAACGACAAGCAATGACAGTGCCTGACTCATTCTCTGCGGCAATGTAAAATACGGTACGGGCGCACGTGAAAGTTCGCATGTTGTGAATAAGGGCGTGGCTTGCTTCCGATGACCAATTCTTCGTTGTTTTTTCGGCACAAACATGGCAGATCATGAAGTCATAACAAGTGATACGCAACGTTATTGGTCGTTTTAGACACTTTTCAAAAGTATTACACTTTTAATTAATAGTTTCAGGAAGATTAGTCCATTCATGCGATGTTAAACTCCATTGGATTCCCGTTGATGCGACAACGAAGACAAAGATTGAAGGAATGAACCTCCGTGGATAATCAATCAGAATCATTGAGGATATAAAGAAGAGAAACTCACCAAACCGTCAGGCACTAAAAACATTTGGTATTAACTTTATCTAGACACGTGAATAGAGGAAAATATGATAATTTCAGAGCTAATCTCATAACATGATGAAAATAGAACTTGTCTTTTACCAACAATGTCCACGCGACAGTTTCTAAGTGAGCAAGGCATTGGCTTTGGTATCTACAACCAAGTCTTGCTATTTGCTGTTACACCAGAGTTAGAGCTTTGTGCTCCCAACGACGAATGTCAAACTACAGTAATCAAACCTCTGTATGGTTATGTAATTAAAATAACAAACGACAGACAAGTACGAAAAAGTTTATTACCAATTCACCAAAATACAGTGATAAAACACAGAACCACGGATCTTCCTTATATGAGGGTTCCCTATCTAGTCGCGAGGCGAATTGGCGCGTCCTAGGGGGTCACAGAGAGTTAATAGCGTACCAAAAGCAGCCTTTGCTTTCCTGAGACACAGGTGGATCCAGGGTATGGACTCCCTGCTTCTCCTGCGCCGATTTTGCATATATTTTCTGTATTTACCAGGCTTATTCATGCATGTGTGTATGGGTGCGTTTTCGCTTATGCGGATTGTATTCTACGAGTCAATTCGGCCAAAAGCCTGCATTCAAGTGACAGGGAACTACATGAGAGGCGGTTAGAAGTCGCCTCCAACAAATAAGCTCCATGTCTACTCTGGGACAGCCTGGTAATTCGACAGTGTTGGGTACTACGAGTACGGAGAGGCTGCTAAAATCTCAAGAAGAATGGAAGCTGGTTGAACTGCAAAGAACTAAGGTGACAATCGGTACTTACAGTGCACATACACTGGGATACGAGTCCTCAATAGATATACATGCTCGATACATGCTCATGCAAGCAAGAAGGATAAGGTACGACGCCATCGACCGGGCCGAGACGGGAAGACGAGAACATTGATTCATTTAAACAACTAACAAGCCGAAATGGACGTTTACGATTAAAAAGATGTAGATCAATACCGGCTTTGACAATCTTCATCGTTCACACAGCGGCATAAAGCTATGACGAAGAAGAAGTCGAAGCGTTCAATATAGACTTCGAGAAGTTCTACAAAGAAGACCATACATTTTTTAAGGTCATCATTGGAGATTTTAAAGCCAAGATTGGACCAAGAAGAGCATCACACTGGAGCCCACGGATTAGAATGGAATATGAGCAGGTTGAGCGGCTGTCTGAGTTTATTATGGCGACCAAGACCATGGTAGACCAACCATGGTAGACCAACCATGGTATCTCGCAATTCCAAAAGTCCCACTCTCAACGCTGGACGTGGGAGTCTCCCAATAGAGAGTACGATAACGAAATGAACCACATCATAGTAAATAGAAGGCTTTGCACAACTGAAGCCGCTGTTGTTCCAAAATTCTACACAACACCAGACCACCGTCTCATTTGTACAAGATTCAATTTTTCTCGGAAAAGAGAAAAAGCCGCTAAATTCAAAAACCGAAGTCCCAAAACCAGTATAGAGTAGGATTCATTCAATTCATTAGTCGGCTGTTGGGAAGATGACGTTGCCGATAACATCGACGAGGAATACGGCTCATTCAACATCTTCACGTTAGCGCTATGCAAGCTGAGTGTTCGAAAGTCACCAAGAGACGTCTGTCTCTAGAAACACTCGAGCTGATACGCCATCGAGGAATCGCACGAGGCAACCGCGAACTAACGTCCGAACTTGCAAGACAATGCAGACGGGCGATAAAAGCAGATCTTAAAAAGAGAAGAGCAGCAATAAT